AAAGCGGAGAGGTGAAGGGGATGAACTAGGAGTCTGAGGTTAAGACACACACACTCCTATGTATAAAGCAGGTAACCAGCAAGGACCTACTGCCTAGCACAGGGAACTATCGTTAATATCTTGTAATAAGCTACACTGGATAAAAATCTGAGAAAGAATACACACATACACATGTAACTAAATCACTTTGTGGTACACCTGGAACATTGTAAATCAACTATACTTCAGTAAAAAAGAAAGAAAGAAAGAATTTAATTTTGAGGAGGTGGTTGCTGGAGAGTGCTTTGGGAAAACTAGTCTCTGAAAATTACCCTGCACTCAGATGGATAGAGAACCCACCTGCCAATGCAGGAGACATGAGACCTGGGTCCGACCCCTGGATCGGGAAGGCTCCCTGGAGGAGGGAATGGCAACCCACTCCAGTGTTCTCGCCTGGAGAATCCCATGGACAGAGGAGCCTGGCCGGTTACGGTCCATAGAGTCGCAAGGAGTCGAACATGTCTGAACCAACTTAGCACTTGGATAGAAGTTCACTTTCTGGCTGAAATACCTATTACAGATCACAAACTATTTTGGTAAAGGCTTTGCCTTGAGTTTAAAACTGAGTAAGTCGAACTGAATCATGTCTCTGTATACATTAAACTAACACAGCATTGTAAATCAACTACATTCTAATATAAAATGAAAGCGAATCAAAGTATCTGCTAAAAAATAAAATAAAGCTGAGTAACTCTATTGATGCGTCTACTTCATCAGTGACATTTCCTAAGTCCCTGCTGTGTGCCAAGCAATGAAACCTGGGATATAGAGAAAGATAAAGGACAACTTCTAACCCCAATCTACTTTTTAGGTTGGGGAAATTGTCTCAAAGAGAATAAACAATGTCTTCCACTCAGCTGAGCATGAAAAAGTGCTGTCAGAAATACTGACTGATCAGGCAAGAGAATGACTTATAACGGTCAAGAGCACACGCCAGGCGAAACAGGATGCGATACGTGTCTCCTCTCTCCGGCCACCTGGGATCAAACGGGAGTCCAGCAATCCCAGCCATGGAGCCCCGAGCCCGAGAAGACCCGGCCAGGGCGACCTCTTAGCTGCTCTGAGCTCTGAGGCCACATCCCGTCCCTGCTGGGCTGGACCACGCAACGGGCCTTATCCGGGAAGCAGCAGTTACAGGCCAGGTGATCTCAGCTCAGATCAGACCTTCTCAGCTCTGCACGTGTTTTCAGATGAGGCAGTCTACTGGTCTTGGAAGCCATGCGGTAAAGACAGCATGGGGATCATGACCCCACACACCTACCTCTTCCTCTGTGAGAGTCACCTCTGTCCTGGTGGGTGACAGCAAACGGCATCAGTCACCTTGCTTCCTCTTTAAAAGGTGGGGGTATTAGCCAATAAATAAACATTTTATTTTGGCCTCTCTTGGGTCATCAGTTTGCACTGGGCAACTTAGAATTATCTCCACAGATGCAAATTATGTTATCTCACAGGAAGGTGAGAAGGGTTTGCAGGTGGCTCAGCGGTGAAGAACCTGCCTGACAGTGCTGCAGACGCAGGAGATGCGGGTTTGACCCCGGGGTCAGGAAGATGCCCTGGAGGAGGAGATGGAAACCCACCCCAGGATCCTAGCTGGAGAACCCCATGGACACAGGAGCCTGGGGGACTACAGTCCACGGGGTTGCAAAGAGCTGGACACAGCAGCATAGTTAGGTGAGAAAAAGAAAAAATAAAAAAGTAACAGGCTTTTAAGAAAACAAGCAAACAAACAAATAAAAAGCAGCGAAGACTGGGACTCTGGAATCTATTCTATCACACACAGAGAAATATCCTGCAAGATAGGGCATTTTTTCACTTTTTATTTTTCTCAACCAGCTTAACCAACTGATGTCTGCTTATGGACACAATTTGAAGGGGAAAAAATCAGGTAGCAGATTGGAAGAAGTTTGGTCAGCTGCAGCTTTCACTTTAGTTCCGTCATCAGCTTTTCATGAAATCAGGACGCAGCTTCAGCGCAGGACAACTTTTAGGAGAAGCCTAGCTGCTTCCCTGGTGGCTCAGATGGCAAGGAATCTGCCTGCAATGCAGGAGACCTGGGTTTGATCCCTGGGTCAGGAAGATGCCCTGGAGGAGGGCAAGGCAATCTACTCCAGTATTCTTGCCTGGAGAATCCCATGGACAGAGGAGCCTGGCGGGCTACAGCCTATGGGGTCACAAAGAGTCGGACAGGACTGAGCGACCAACACACTGAACTAAGTTGAACTAAGTCAGCTGCCGCTCCTGTAGAATCTCCTCTTCTGGGTGAGGAGCCCAGAACCCCGAGATGCATCCCAGCCTCTCCTCTGCACCTGAGGTCTGTGCCCCGTGACACGTCCACACCCATCTCACTCCTGTCTTCAAGGCGTGCTAAATCCACTCAACACAGTTTCTAGTCCACTTTCCAAGTCACTACAGGGAAGGCAAATCCCCTTCAGTCACGTGCCTCTACCCCTTTAAAAAGCATCCGGACTTTCTGCAGGATGAAGACTGTGGTCCCCAGTTTTCGTTGCCACTGCATCCCCAGGACTGGGACGGGAAGTGCTCAGCATCTGTGGAGTGCCTCTCGCCTGCCTCTCCAGCCACACCCCCTGCCGGTGCCCCGACGGTCCCCAGTCCATCTGCCCGCCTGCCTCCCATGTTTTGCAAGGCGCGGCACCCTCTGTCTTAGGAGGCTGGACCTGCGAGGGCTCACACCTACTCTCACCACATCCACCTGGAAAGCCCACCTCATCTTTCAGCCCACACAGCCCCTGGCCTCAGATGAGTACACACGAAGCCTCAGCCATCTCCAGGATCCCAGAGGCTCGAGGCTGGAGCCTTGAGATAGGAACATCTCAAGGGATACTGACCCCAGCAATACAGAATAAACTTGCGATCGGAACACCGCATCTGAGTCTGAGGTGTCAGACTCAGGGGCACAGGGTCAGCGTTTGGGGGAGGCCCTGATCTGATTTCACATCCATCCTGGGTACAACAGGCTCTGGGGGCTGGCGTGGGTGCCCAATGGTGAATTATCACATCCCTTCCAAAGACTGATTATTTATTGTTTCTAAGGGGGACTAAAGTTTTCCATTCAGAGATTGGAAACTACTTGGACTTTACAGCCCGGAACTATTCATGATTCTTTAAAAATGAACTCTTGGCCAGACCTGATTTACATCTAACCAGAAAGCCACGCTTTCCTTTCTTCCTTAAGCCATAAACAAGCGTAGTTTTAAGGGACATTCAACTAGGTATTCCCTGATTCTCAGGATCCTGAAACGGTTAACATACCACTCATTAAAACAGAGAGTTCGGTTCTGGTAAACACAAGGCCCAACTATTCAGAAAGATAACCTGTGAAGTTCGAGTGTTTCGAGCACTTCAGAACTGCCCTGCCCCCTGGCCCACGCCCCCGACCACCCATCCATAGGATCTGGCAGAGAATATAACAAATTTGAAAAATGATGAGGGAAAGATAAAAGCGATGAAAACGAAACATGGCTGATGGTTAATCTCCACATGTTCAAATGTCACACAGTTCTTCAATTAATTTAAAATACCACTGAAGTGAGATGACTCTCTCTAAATATTTTATCACTGAGATGCTGTAAGATTTCTTACACACACATTACCACATTTTTCATTTAATTACTGATCAAATGCATGAGCTGAAAAGACGAAGATCTTGCCATAAAGCGGAATAATTTGTGAGGTGACAGCAAGCAGGCCTACGCTGTATGTTCCTCGCCATTAAAAAATGCTCTTGGGTAAAAGACACAGACTTAGTTGAATAGAACTCTCCTATTTCTTGTGGTTAATACAGAAACCACACAGGTCCCAGGGCTGGCATAGTAAACCTTTGAACACTACATCTATGAAATTCTGTTGTCTTTTTACATTTTCAGTAACACTTCTTTTTGCTATATTTATCACATTTTCCAAAATATGAAAATGTTCCTTTTCTTTTAAATGTTGACTGCATGTGAAAAATTAACTCTGGTTCTATTACTTCAAACTATGCCTTTATTAGCAACAGTTGTGCTGTGCTGACAAGAAGAATTTTAAGACGAAAGTACCAAATTTGGAGCGTAGACACATCTGTTTTACTTTGCAGTATGTTTTATTGTTTTATTTCTTAGGATATGAATTCACAACCATCTTATAACTGAAGACTAAAGAAAAAACATATGTTGGTAAATCTGATTTCTGCATTTTTTTCATTCAAGGGAAGTTGCCTCCTTCAACTGTCTGCCAATAAGTAATAAATGCACTTGGCAAAAAGTTTATTTAAGTTGGCTTTATTAAGCCAACAAAATACAGAAATCAAGTATGGGACAGGCAGAAAAATCTGTTCCTTTGAAGTCAATAAAAATCCATCTCCTTAATCCTTTTTTTATTCCAAGCAGTGGTGATTTTTCTCAGCTGACTCACTGGGAACCTTGATTTAGCTAATCTGTCTTGCTTAGTTATCTTTCTTCTCCAAAGCTTTCCTAAAGAAGCATCCTTTCCCCTTGACAACCGTCATCTTTTATACTTGCATAGTGTGCATTTGGTTATAAACATACTCTAGTTAATCCTGATAGAGATTTAAGAATCAAGTTTTTAATTACTCTCCATATTTTATAAGAACAAAAACAGCAGTAGCTTGCAAGCTGAAACAAAAGATACAGAGAAACGACCAACAGCAGATAAGGTGGCAAAAATGTGACTCCATGCGTCCTTCTTGACCCTCTGTCTCAGCTTTCCGTCAGGGTCACCCACTTGTTACGGCCATCAGTCATAACTCCTTCTCCACGCCCCAGTCCACCCACTACAGAGCTACAACTCAGCCAGGACCACACAGGAAAACATGACCAAGCTGGAAGATCTCATGATTAGAAAAGAAGGTTCTTCTCTTTTGGAAAAAGAAAAACATGGATGGACTTCAAGGCACTCAAAGGCCGAGATCATTTAGTCACTTGGATGAGGAAAGGGTTCCTTACCTAAACTGAAGAGCACCAAGAACTTGAGACACACGAACTCTCGCTGATCGAACTGCAGAGAACGAAGCTTCGCCACCAGGTCCTGTGCGTGGCTCATGAGGTTGTTGAGTGTGGCCCCCGCCTGCGAGGCTACGACAGAATAGTCCACCTGCAACACAGAACCACGTGTTAGTGGGAAAAACTGCACACGTAGCACTGGCAAATCCCTATGTATTACTATTTATTTAGACTTTATACATATATACATACACATATATACACATACATGGGGCTTCCCAGGGGGTTCAGTAGTAAAGAATCTGCCTGCCAATGCAGGAGACTTGGGAAAAACAGGTTCAATTCCTGCATCGGGAAGATCCCCCAGAGGAGAAAATGGCAACCCACTCCAGCATTCTTGCCTGGAGAATCCCATGGATAGAGGAGCCTGGTGGCCAAGAGTCCATGGGATCTCAAAGAGTTTGATGTGACTGAACACACATACCACACCATATATATATACATATATAAGTGTGTGTGTGTGTGTGTGTGTGTGTGTATATATATATATATATATATATTTTTTTTTTTTTTTTCCCCCTTGAGACTTTTAAGCACTGCAGGCAAAATCAGATTCATAACACGGGATACTGCCCATGAAAGCAGTTTAAGACACAGTCTGTTATGATAAATTGTATCATAATCTTTCTGACCAATCCCATCATTCTGATGAGCTTTGCACGAAGCAGGTCTTGAAGACCTCAATTGCACATGTAGATATATTTATCTTTTTCCCTATTGTGACATGACATTATCACCTAAGATGAAAATTGTTAACTCATGAATAAGTTTAAAGGAAAATACACTGACCATAAAAAGTGAATCCAGAGCAGCATTCTAAATGTATGTATGCTCAGTTGCTAAGTGGTGTTCAACTCTGTGAGACGCCATGGACTGCAGCCTGCCAGGCTCCTCTGTCCATGGGATTCTCCAGGCAAGAATACTGGAATGGGTTGCCATTTCCTCCTCCAGGGGATCTTCCCGACCCAGGAATCGAAGCTACACCTCCTGTATCTCCTGCATTGGCAAGCGATTCTTTACTACTGCACCACCTGAGCAGCCTACACTCTAAATGTATACAAAGTGTATACAAAGCCTCACTTGATGAGGCAAGTGATGGCAGAGATGTGTTTATTATTTATTTTTTAAATATTATTTAATAAAATTAAGAGACTTCATTTTAAAGTAACCATCATTCAAGACTCTATGCTTACAGATGATGAAGGTATCAGTTCAGTTCAGTTCAGTCGCTCAGTCGTGTCCGACTCTTTGCGATCCCATGAATCGCAGCACGCCAGGCCTCCCTGTCCATCACCAACTCCCAGAGTTTACCCAAACCCACGTCTATCGAGTCAGTGATGCCATCCAGCCATCTCATCCTCTGTCGTCCCCTTCTCCTCCTGCCCCCAATCCCTCCCAGCATTAGGGTCTTTTCCAATGAGGTGGCCAAAGTATTGGAGTTTCAGCCTCAGCATTAGTCCTTTCAATGAACACCCAGGACTGATCTCCTTTAGGATGGACTGGTTGGATCTTCCTGCAGTCCAAGGGACTCTCAAGAATCACACTGAGATTATTCTTTGGCTTGAGTGAGTGAGTGATGGTGACTCTGTTGTGTCTGACTCTGCGACCCCATGGACCCACCAGGCTCCTCAGTCCAATTCTCCAGGCAAGAATACTGAATACTGGAGTGGGTTGCCATTTCCTCCTGCAGTTCCTAAGTTTGCTGCTTCCTAAAAAGCTACAACAACTAGCCACCCTCATGTGATTATTAATACATCACTCTCTAAAGACACAACGATCTTATTTATGAGAAGAATAATTTCTTGATTTGGAAAACAAAAAAGGCTTGTTTTCTTCTCCGTTAAAAAAAAAGCAGCAGCAGATGCTGCTGAATAATCCATCTCAGATTATTCACAGGGACACCAAAAGTTCGACCTACGATGGTAAGTTAAGATGTTGGGGTGGCTGTCAACGGCAGAACCGGCTTTGCTGCTGCAATTACAGCATAATGGGAGAGCCCGGTTGGTACCTGCCGCCCCCATCCTTTTCTTCACTGGCGAGCTCTCAGGCAACCAGATACTCTTTTAGGTGCATTTAATATTTGCAGCAGCAGCAAATTTGTCTGGGAGGCAAGTCCTCATCTGCCACTCACCCGGAGCAGACTGTATTAAATTTTTATATTTATTGACATTTCATTACCATAATTGACTGCACTTGCTTCTCTAGGAGAAGGCACAGGGCTGCCTCCTAAGCAGGAGAACGAGTCTCTAGAGGAGGATTTGCAATTAAAAACAAGGCAGAGTGGATTTTTTTTTTATTGTGTAAATATGATGAGTTGAATTTTCAGCTTTAACTAGAGAATACTGGGTGCACAGAAACCTTTTTTTCGAGAGGGAGAAAAATTATGAGTCAGTGGAAAGATGTCCCCCGCAAAGGTGTCAATCAGTTTACAGAGCGTCAACTGCGCATGAAAAAGCCCCAGTCCATGCGTGTCTTCGTGAGGCCCCGCGTCCCACCACACCGTCCCCCTCGCCTGGGCCAGCTGCCCGCAGCTCCCCCTGAATTCACACATCAGCCGCTCTAAGTGCTCCCGTGGCTTCTGTCTCGGACCGTGTGAAAGGAAGGGCCAGCACACGGGCGGCCTGAAGCCTGAGCTGGAGGCGGAGGGGCCCAGCGGAAGGACGCCGCGGACCACTGCAGGGTCGCCCCCGGGCATGCCCAGGGATGCCCCAACCTTCACTGAACCAGGTCCCCGACAGGAGACCTTCCTACTCCAAGGACGTTCTCCTTACTTAGCCGGGGTGGCTCAGCTCCAAATCCCCTGGGGACTGCACAAGGTCTAACGACTCCTCCTAAGAAGAAGAATATAAATCCTACAGGGACAGAGGCGGGGTAGAACGGGACGGCAGCCAGGGTCAGAGGTGGAGGAAAGCCCCGCAGAGCAGGAGCGGCGGGCGGGGCCGAGGCCCCGAGAGGAGGGGCCTCTGGGAGGCCCCGCCCCTGCGCGCCCTGCTCTCGGTGAGGCGTTGAGCCGGGTAACAGTAGGCGGCCACCCACTCCCACCATCACTAAGAAATGAGAACAGCCGGGACAACATTGCCAACTTAAACTTGGAATCACCAGCTGAAGGCATCGTCACTATAGCTTAGAATGCACATAACACATTAAAAAAAAGTCACCAGTCAGCCCTACACCTGCAAAGTGTACTAAAAGAAGCCACAGATACGTTGGTACTGGAGAACGGAATGGCCACCCACTCCGGTATTCTTGTCCGGGAAATCCCACGGACAGAGGAGGCTGGTGGGCTACAGTCCACGGGGTTGTAAAGACTTGGGCATGACTGAGCAGATGGTTCTTTTTTATTATTAAGATGGGGTTAATTCAATTCTGCTATGTGTGTGGTTCTAACAGGTAGGCAGTAAGTTACAAAAGTAAAACTTCGTAGTTGCAAATGAAGTACATTATAACTGAAAGGACTCTAAATTCAATTTTTTAAAAAGATGGGTAAGTTAAAACTTTGGAGGTGTAGAGATTGAACGGGTAGGAAATAAGTTCAACTGTTAGAATTTCATACTTGGAAACATAACACACTCTAAGAGAAAGGAACTGAAATGGTTTCACGGGACTCTGAACTATTGAGGTGGACTTCGGGAAATCAGTTGGCACATGGACAACTTTATTGCTATATATTTATATACAGGCTAATGCAAGAGCTCAAACATGCTCATGAAGTGGGGGCTCTGATAACTTCTCCTTCAAGGATAATTTATCAAATCACATGGCTCTGAAGGAGGAGCAGTGATTTATTCCTGAAACAGCGCCCAGATCTGCAACTTCTTTACATTTTATTACAAACATAATTATATTTTCATTGTCGGATGTGGAGTTTGTGCTCACCGCAGGAGCAGCTGGCCTTGTCTTTTATGTACTTAGTAAAATTAATTTATTACTCCCTTACCCAGAATCTTTGTGCCATTAAATTCAAGGGAGATATTGAAGAAATACTATAAGTGGATGTCCCCTTTGGATAAATTTTGCTCATCATGAAGGGAGCAACAGTTTTAGCTAAATTGCTTTCCGTTCTGATAGCTGAAATTTTTGATGACTCGTATGCTGGCAGATGCCTGTCTTTTTAATACGATACACAATAACAGAAGATAATGAAAAAGGTGCCAGCAGGCCCTTCCCATAGGAAAATGTTACAGCGGCTGTTCATTAACGACAATATGCAAACCACTAAAAGTGGTACCACTTTAAAATCCTCTGTTGCTATTTGATATATGCACTTTCAGCCACACGTTTTGTATGCATGTGGTTTAAAAATACTGAAGAGAAATGAATTATCATCATAGTGATAAGATGCTAAACATTGATATATAGAATTGATCTGGCGATGCTTAATGTTACTGACAATCATTTTTTCCTTTTGGCTTAAAAAGGTAATTTAATGTACCCTTAGAAAAACCAGAAGAAAAGACAGAATTAAAATAGCTAACTTCAGGGTTAAGTAAGAAGTTCCCTTGTGATAGCAAAACACAAAGTAGCAATAATTGATACTAAAGAGAGAAATGCCATCCACTCCTTGACTGTTCTCGGTTTGGAAAATCGGAGGAAGAAGCGCACTTTCTCTACTTTTTACATGGTAATTGCCTTTACCCAGGATCAGCACTTAGCGCAAAATGGAACGTGAAATGAGGAGCATTTCTAAGAGCAGGAATGGAAGTGCTCTGAGAAAGAACGGCACAAACCCATTTGATTTCTGGAACTCGGAAGGATGAAATCAAATTAATTTGTGGGCTGAGTCCTGTTCTTCTAATGTAGCTCCCCATGGGGCCTGGGAGGGTGGGGGTTGGGAGGCAGGCCGTGATGAGGCTCTGAAAATGGGTACACTTCTTCCAAAGACCCGGGTCACAGGCTGGAAACGCTCAACGGAAATTCAAAAGATGGGGACGTCAAGCCCGCTGAGGCTTGATTCTAGAAAGCCTTTTTCTCAGGAGCAGGGCAGGAAGCAGGGGCCAGGCAGTGATGGTGGCTGATTCGATCTGCAAAAATCTGAGACAGTGCTTGCCTTTAACTTGATTGGGAACATGTGATTTATCTATAATTCAGCAAATGATGTGGAAACAGCCTTTCACTTTCAAATATGCACTGCCAGGCTTTCACAGCACATAAACATTTATGGTCGGATGTAAAAGATCACGGTGCCTGAGTCCTGAATTCTGCAGCAGCCTTCCAACGCATGCCTGAAACAGCCCCCTGGACTAATCGGGTCTCTGCATCCCTCGCATCCATTTTAATAACCCACAGAAAACAGAAAACGGAGGCCAAGAACCAGGAGGGACATGCCAGAACCCGGTAAAGCTGGAATCAGGATCACTAGGTAGACTTTCTCTCCTCCCAGGTGTCTTTCTTCCCTCAAGGCTTTGCTCAAATCTCACCTTCTGAGTAAGACTCAGCCAACCCGTCCCGTTACATGCCAAAGCCACAGGACAGTGACCGAGGGGCCCTGCAGGATGCTCAGAAAATACTCGTGGACCAAACAAATATCCATTCATAAAGGAGAAGGACCTCACGGTAATTTTCTGTTTCCATGTTCCTTTTCGACAATGACTGGCCAGGGTGGGGGGGGCGAACTGAGCGAGTAGGCTTGACATGCATACACCAGCCTATGCAAAACAGATCGCTAGTGGGGGGCTGCTGCGGAGGGCGCCCCGAACTCTGTGCTGACCCAGAGGGCTGGGCCCGTCCCATGGTGGGGGTGGGAGGGAGGCCTCCGAGGGAGTGGGTGGATCTAAACACAGCTGATTCACTTCCCTGTGCAGAAGAAACTCACCCAAGCGTGTAAAGCAGTTACACTCCAATTTAAAAACAGAAAAAACAAAGGTGGAGGGGGAACAAAAACAGTGACTGACTCTTGAACACTGCCTTTCCTTTTCACTTGGTTGCCTTTAGACCAAAGATATAGATGATTGACATACAACACCTGAATCAGTCTCTTCCACCAACACGATTCCAAAATATCAAGATTCCATCATTTCCAAGTTTGTTTTTTAATAGCTAACAGACAAGTGTGACAGATTCACGCAGAAGCTTGGGAAGAAACCAAGGTACAATCATTAATCCTGACTCAGCAATTCTTTTGACCCTTCAAAGCACCACTTCCAGGCCAGCAGGCCAGCAGGGGTGGGCTGTCTGGGACAAGTTTCACTGTAACCACCCCAGCGGGAACAGGGCACCCCAAGTCAGCGTCTCTAAATTATATGCAGCCAATATATATCCCTTTCAAAACGCAAAAGAGCTTCTGACCTAGCTGAATTCCTGCCATCCTGCACATGCTTAATAAAAAGACACTTCTTTTTTCCTTCTGGCGTCTGCACTCACTTGTTGCCCAGTAACCAGGAAGATGCAGCCCTCCTTTCCGTGAACCACTTGTCGGTAAATGTGGTCGAGAATTAAGAGCTCACTCCAGCAGTTCTGAAGCAGCTTCATTTGGTCATCCACCTGTAAAAGAAATGGGAAAAAAATGACTCTGGAACTCACCACCATTTTTTATTTTGCATGATTTTTTTGTTTGTTTTTTACACAAAAGACTCTACCATGTAAGCCAGGAAAAACTACCAATCGTCACCAGATGAATTCACATCCTCCCTCCTGAAAGTCATTCTTTGCATTTGGACAAATACGTTTGAGGCCACAGAGAAATACTTAAGCAAAGTATCTGTAATCAATGAGTCGCTAGGAAAAGGTACTCCATCAGATGGGTCTACTTGTCATGAGTAGATCTATTAGCATTTGCTCATGGGAGGGACAGGCGCCTCAGAGAGTCCTTAGTGGAACCCACTAGAATGACCCCGGTTAGGGATTTCCCTGGCAGTCCAGTGGTTAAGACTCTGCCTTCCAATGCAGGCAAGTTGGGTTCCACCCCTGAACCAGAAACTAAGATTCATATGCGTTGGGGAGAAAGTCTGCACATCACAATGAAGACCCAGCACAGCCAAAATAAAAATAAGATATGAAAGAAAAGAAGGAGAAGAATGACTCAAATAGCCCAGGCTTGTGTATCTATCTACAGGTTAATACACTGAGCCCAGGCTGAAATAGTATATGGATACTGGCTCAGTGGTAAAGAATCTGCCTGCAGTGCAGGTTTGATCCCTGGGTGGGGAAGATCCCCTGGAGAAGGGAACGGCAACCCACTCCAGGATTCTTGCCTGGAGAATCCCACGGACAGAGGAGCCTGGTGGGCCCCAGCCCCTGGGGTCGCAGAGAGTGAGCAAGCACACACACACTAGCAAGCCCCCAAACCGTGAGGATTTATATGAAAAGCGATCAGCACGACAATTCAAATGACTTTTGAACTTAGAGGCCCAGGGCCGTTGTCATCAGTCTCAGCTAGTCCACATCGTGCTAGACTTTCGCGGGAACGGTCACCAAGCCCAGTCTTGATGCTCACCTGCACTTGCTTTAAGATTTGGCCAATCCTCCCACAAACTACCTCCCTTCAGTTTCGGCATCTGAAACACGGGCCGACAACAGTACCTCCCTCCCACATCAGCAGTGGGGAGTAAAAGGCAGAGGGCTGAGACGCAGTGAATGTTGTATCCACATGATGCCACCCCGCTCCCAGGGGGCCACGTTCTTGAATGCCAGCAACACACCCATTCAGGTATAGGTCACATATCCACCGTCACGATGCCACCCCGCTCCCAGGGGGCCACGTTCTTGAATGCCAGCAACACACCCATTCAGGTATAGGTCACATATCCACCGTCACGATGCCACCCCGCTCCCAGGGGGCCACGTTCTTGAATGCCAGCAACACACCCATTCAGGTATAGGTCACATATCCACCGTCACGATGCCACCCCGCTCCCAAGGGGCCACGTTCTTGAATGCCAGCAACACACCCATTCAGGTATAGGTCACATATCCACCGTCACGATGCCACCCTGCTCCCAGGGGACCGCGTTCTTGAATGCCAGCAACACATCTATTCAGGTACAGGTCACATATCCACTGTCAGATGTGGAGGGCATATGGACCCATTTCCAGGACTATTTGTAACAGCTTCTCTTCATTTTGTAACTGTAACCAGCCAAAGATCTTGGTGGGCCTGAATGTTGATACATCATGCTTTTACATAGATAACACCTGACATTTAGATGTCGTGTAACAGCTAAAGAGTTTAAAAGAGCTTTGTGTATTGTTTATTGAATTCAGAGAACCTGCCTATGGAGTAAACAGAACTGACATCATTTTCTTCAATTTACAGATGAGAAAACAGGGCCTCAGAGACCTAATTAGCTGGTCCACCTAAATGACTCCTTTCTCTCTCTGAAGTTCTAGGGTGTCTCCAAATTACACCAAGAGGTGCCAGACTCACAGATATGGAAAACAGATGTATGGTTACCGAACGGGAAAGGGAGGCATGGAGGAACAAATGAGGAGTTTGGGATTAATATTACACAAGACTACATAGAGAATGGGCTTCCCTCGTAGCTCAGTTGGTAAAGAATCTGCCTGCAATGCAGGAGACCTGGGTTCAATTCCTGGGTTGGGAAGACCCCCTGGAGAAGAAAATGGCAAGCCACTCCAATATTCTTGCTTGGCTCCTCTGTCCATGGAATCACAAGAGTTGGACACAACTTAGCGACTAAACCACCACATATAGAATAAATAAGCAACAAGGATTTACTGTACAGCACAGGGAACAATATTCAATACCTTTAACAACCTATAATGGAAAATAATCTGAAAAGTATATATATCAATGTATATAATTGCATCAGTTTGCTATACACCTGAAACTAACACAATACTATAAATCAATCACACTCAACTTAAAAATAAAAGAAAAAGGTGCTAGAATTTTCTAAACCAATTTTTTTTTCAAATTAATTTAACTCACTCCTAACAAACTCAATTTTAAGTGAGTGTTCGATGAGACTTGGATGGCTGGGGAGTCTTAGGAAGTTCTCACTCACACATTAGCAGTGATTCGAGCTTGTTGTTCAGTCTCGTAAGTCTTGTCCAACTCTGCGATTGCATGGACCGCAGCACACCACGCCTCCCTGTCCTTCACTAACTCTCAGAGTTTGCTCAAACTCATGTCCACTGAGTTGGTGATGCCATCCACCCAGCTCATCCTCCTCTGTCGCCCTCCTCGCCTCCTGCCTTCAAAGTCTCCCAGCATTAGGGTCTTATCCAATGATATGAGCTTAGGACTGACTATTTCCATGAGTCTAGAAAACAGTGAATGTGGTCAAGCCAGCACTGAACTTAGACTAAATCAAGATTCCAGGCACAACTGTGCACTTTCCAGCTCCAAGAGCTTGGCCAGGCCACTTAGTTCTCCAACCCTTATCCTCTCACCTAAAAATACGCGAGACAGTTCTTGTCATGAGGATGGAGTGAATGAAGTGTGAGACAAGACATAAATGAAGCAACAATGCCAAACACGAGGCTCCCATCTGGAAGGCCGCATTGATCCCGTTTAGAGGGAAAAGACAACTGCAGAGACTGACGCCACTTTGTGATCAGGAAAACAGATCCAGAAACATCTCCATCAGAAATGATCGGAACTAGTCAGTCGGCTCTGACCAAGAGAATTTCACTCCTGGAGTAAACAGACGTGAAGAGCCACTTACTTGTTGAGAGTAAGTGTCGGGTCTGGGGTGTGATGCTGAACACGGCAGAGGCAGGCCCTCGCTTGTGGAAATGACTCCTCCTCAGGGAGAATGCTCATCCACACTGGCGCCTGGGCTCATGAGAGCAGACGCTCAGACCCTTCTTCCCAGGAGTACAGGTTGGGCTGTGGCAGCAGCTGATGAAAACCCACCTCGCAGCTCTGAGCACGGCTCGTACCAGAAGGCACGGGATTGTCTTCACGTCCACCCCTGCCCACACCCAGAGGCAGGAAGGAGACACACTGGCTTTGGAAATCTGTTTCCTGGGTCCTCAGGTTCTTTGGACCTGGAGGAGGAAATGGCAGCGCGCTCCAGGATTCTTGCCTGGGAAATCCCATGGACAGAGCAGCCTGCAGGGCTACAGCACATGGGGCTGCGAAGAGCCAGAAGTAACTGAGCAAGTAAGCGCAGCTTCTTCGGGAGATGCAACCATGGGTGAGATTGCGCACGTCCGTTTCTCACGCTAGCACTTCATTTTCGGCTTTGTACTCTGTGCTGTTCATGTCATCATTTCTTCTGATTCCACCAAGGGCTGTGCTTGTTTACCGGTCTCCCTGCTTGTAGCTGGGGGTGCCCGGAAGCAGCAGCTCTTGGGGGGCCTGGCGCCGCCTTGGCAGAAATGCTCGTGAGATAAATGGAGGGACACGTGACTGATGGAGGTACCTTCCCTCCCGCAAGTGCCTGCTTTCAGCCTGTGTCCCTGGCACTTGGACCACAACAGCCAGAGCCACTCCTCAGGTGCTTGTGGAGGGCAGGGCCCTCGAACACTCAGCTGACCCCACACATGGGCCGGAGGGTCTGGACCCACCGCCGGCCCTCGGTAAAGACTTCTTGACTAACTGTAATTTTAACACCCCTCTCAGGCAACTGATTCCTGTTTTAAGGCTCTCTGAGGAGGCTTTCCAGGCTGACATCCCATTTCAATATTTCCATAATTGATTATGTGATATTTTATGTTATCTTGAAATTGGCGAGTATGCAACTCCCCTGGGCTTCGGGTGTCTTAGTTTGTATGCAGCTCTTTGAATGAAAGGACAAGGCAAATACGATGACCGACTCCTTCCTTATCTCCAGATAAGAGATGTTGGCAATTCCAAAGATAACGTCTCCTTAGAAAACAAGCTTACAGGTGATACGGTGGTGGGGGTAGGAAGGGGAAAAACGATCTCCTCCTTTTGAGTCAATTCCCTGGCTATTCATGCTGTCAGCACTTTCGGGGGGTGTTTGGGAAGGCCATACAGGGGACGGATGGAGTGTAATTTCCAGTCCACATCAGACCCTCTCGCTAGCTGGCAGTGCCACCTCACACGGTCCTGCGTTATCAGCTGTGATAAAAGGGAGGGCTCATCTCAGAAGCCTAGCTGCTCTGCGGGCAACGACTCTGCGGGCAACGGGCTGACGTTATAGATGAGCGTGTGAACGAGCACAGGCCTCTTGGGGTTGCCTGCACACCTCCCCACAACCCAGGAGGTTAATCATTAGAAACCTGTGCTTTCTCCTAAGTGCAGCGAGGCTGGCAAACAACTAGAAGAAGAAAAATGTGTGGATCTTTCTCAAGCCCACACTGAACTTATCAGAGCCTCTCTGTTGCCCCCTGGCCCTTTATCTTCTCACCGTCTGGCCACGGAACTGTGAGTCCATGTTCCCTCTCCCAGGGGCCTTTATTTGAAAATCGACATCGTGAGTCACAGTGGTGCAGCTTTAAGAAAGGCATTTTTAGGAAAACATTCAACTGACGTGGGTCGGTAATTCAAAGTAGACATGAACCCATTTCCCGTTTCTGATCATTAAATCTGATGCGTCCCGGGCCTCGTA